TAATGTCTGGAAAAATGCTACATTTCTTTTTTCAAAAAAAAAAAAAAGGTTAGTTGGGTTGAATCTTTTTTTCTTTTCTTCCCATAAAATAAAAAAAATTGGGGAGAAATTCTACCTTCTCCTTCAAAACCATGGAACGAAAAGAATATTAAGCAGTAAAGAAGATGTTTCAATTAAACATGCTACTTGCTGTGGGATCAAAATGAGTCAGGTTGGAAACGTCTCCCAAGACATGTTGGAGACCAAAAGCAATGTTCACGGAAATCTGTTCTAAGATGATGTAACAGTCTCAAAATTGGGAGGCAGTCCTAATTTTGTGTTTTTTTTCTTCACCACACGGTCCTTTTCAATTCCCCTTTCCAATTTCTTCCTCATCACCTTCCGGAGTTTCGGAATCGCGTGCCTGCCGAGTGAGCGAGGGACATGAGCCTAAGATCGTTGGGAGCCATTTTCCTCCTCTTAGAGAAGAGGACAAAGAAGAATGGGTGAGAGGGAAAGACATGGAATATTTACAAACCATGCTACCAAAAGCTGCGGTAGATCAGGGCGTCCTTCTTCTTGTTGTTGTTTCTTCTTTCCTCTCTGTCATCCTTAAGGACATGAAGGACTTATTGAACTCTCTAGAGAGGACTGGGAGAGGCGCCGGGTGAGTGGTCCGATGGTGGAGTCCGCCAAGGAGGAAGTGGGGAAGAGCTTGTACCAACCTGTCACCGTGCTGGACAGATCCAGCTCTTCTAGTACAATCTGGGCCATACCCATGAAGCACTTGTGGTCCATGCGTCCGTAATCTCCCCAGACGATCACCTAAAAAAGGAAGAGGTCAATGAACTGCCAGCGAAATTTCAGAATCAGGAACAGAAAGTGGCTTCCAGGGAACAGAAAGGTAGAGAGGGACATTGTTCTCACCACCATCATTCTTACATGATGTTAGACATTGTATAAGCAACTAATAGCGCAATTTGATGCTTGTTTACTCTGATACCCTGCTGAATTCAAATTGTGGTGCTGATCACCAATGGCTAATCTCCAAAATCAGAATAAACTGAAGAAGAACATTAAAAGAACCATAGCGCCGAAGTATAATTTACTATTTGCCAGCGTATAAGACGACTGGGCGTATAAGATAACCCCCCAACATTTTCACTCAAAATATAGAGTTTGTTATATACTCGCCATATAAGACTACCCCTCTTCTGCACACCTTCCACACACCAAATAAAAAGTGCTATTCATTGTCACCGTTGTATGGCCGCAGTGCGACCACAGTGCCTCCAGCCTGCCCCTGCATCTCCCTGTGACCGGCACTAGTGCGCAAGTGCACATGTGTGAGCTCTGCGTAGACAAGGGGTGGGCCAGAGTGCCGCTGCTTCCTGCCGAGCAGAACAGGCCAGTCACGTCAAAAAGGCTGGCACCCCTGTCTCGCTGCTGATGCTTGTCGTGGCCGTGCTGGATACCGCGCAATACTGGACGGTATGTAGAATGAGGTGGGCAGGCATCAGGAGGCTACTATGGGCACCGGGTGAGCATCAGAAGGCCACTATGGGCTGCTATGTCTATCCCAACTGAAGTGCACCCGGTGTATAAGACGACCCCCCCCACTTGGAGGCATGGTTTTCAGGGCAAAAAAGTAGTCTTATACGCCAGCAAATACAGTAAATCACATTTCTGATGAATTTAAAGTCTATGTGAAGAACCAATTTGTATCACAAAGTTCAATTGATCATGAATTGTTTCAGGCTACAGAGAGGGAATCTATCAAAATCCTAACGAGAATATGTCAACAAATATAGAAAACAAAACAACGGCCTACAGAATGGAAATGTTCAATGTACATTTCGGTCCCCCAAAAAGCAACTGCCAAGGAATGCATTAACCACAGGACCATCACAGTAATATCCCATGCAAGGAAAGCGATGCTCAAGATGTTGCAATATCATGGACCATCAAAAAGATGAATAAGTGGATGCTAGAAGAGGTCAACCCTGAGTGCTCACTCAAAGGACAGATCCTGAAGCTGAGGCTCCAAAACAATAGTTTAATCCCACTTTAGCTCTATCTGTTGGATTTGTAGTTTGGTAAACTACTCAGAACTTTTGGCTAGAGCGCTGTAGTGCGCTGTATTGAACTACAGCGCCATAGTGCTTGAGCACAGAATTCTCATTAACTCACTAAACTACTGATCTGAGGATTTCATCCCACCGACCCTCCCAATGGAGAGATGCAGCGAGTGGCTCAGAATCAATTAAAACAACATAATAGGCACAACTAAGAACGCAGCGACATGTAATATCACAAAAAGAGGTAACAGGATTTAAAAAGTACATACGGTGATGTCAGCAGGGAAGAAGTGCCTATACAGTGTCTCATAAAAGCACCTACCTGTCCAAGGCAATTAAAAGCCAGCCCAATAACAAAAGCATTTGCCTGTTGACAGATGGACAAGAGGGTAGAAGACCTCCTGGCCTCCTGATGGAACCCATTCTACAGTTTGGGGCAGAGAAAACGACCCCAAATTGCTGTGATTCTGCGCTCTGTTTTAACACACATCTACTGAGCACCTCCCTTTGAAAGGGTTTTACTTCAGTGGAGATTCCCATCGAGGTCCCACAGCTTTGAGACTCTCCATTCCCTCATGCCCTACCAGGACCTGTTCTGAAGACGACCCGGGATGAGTTGTACCTGAGAAAAATACGGCGGGGGCTCACCCTCTTGAAAGAGGGGAGAACGGCATTCACCTGTAACATCCGGCCCTGAGGGCCCTCTTCGAAGAGCAGGGCCTGCTGATACAGCGGGTTGCAGGTCTTCTTGGCCGCCTTGGTCTTCTTCTTGGCCAAACAGGTCCCGTTTTCCAGCAGGTAGACTTTGACATAAGTGGCTGCATGGAGAGAGAGATGGCAAGGTTGATGGCCTGTGAGGAAGGCGACCGAGTCTGACCGGGGTGTGTGTGGGTGTGATTTTTCAAACAATGTAGTGGATGCATTCATGGACGCCTGCTATCCAGCTTACCTAGCCCCTGTTTAGGCCACAATAGACCACTGCAGGAGAACGACTGAGTCGTACCAGCTCCTTGATTATCACAGAGCAAGGTGGGAAGAGACTGATCTCCATGGAGATCTTTTAAATAAACAAAACAGGAAGAAGAAAATAGTCGCGCACCGCTGGATGTTTACCTCGCTCTATGATGAATCCGCTTTACGTTGACATTTTTGCGATTGCTTTTGTGATCGAAAAATGGTGTTTTAAATGGGCTTTTCTCGCTGTGCGATGATCGGTTCCCTGCTTTGGGAACCGATTTTTGCTTTACGACGATCAG